AGGTGAGGCCGACTATCTCTAGTCGGTATCGCTCAACCTCCCCCACGAGCTCGGGCTCCTTCCCCCCCAGTGAGGTGACGTTCCACGTCCCAAGAGCCTGTTGTGTGTGCGGACTGGGTCGCCGAGGTCTCCGCCTTCGACTGCCGCCCAGTCCTCTCAGCACCGCTTCACCACGGACCCCTCTGCAGGTGGTGGGCCCACAGGAGGGACTGCCCACGTCATCCCTTCGGGCTGAGCCCGGCCGGGCCCCGTGGGCTAAGGCCCGGCCACCAGGCGCTCGCATACGGGCCCCGACCGGGTGGTGGCTCCAGGGTGGGGCCCCGGCTGCGCCATGCCGGGCGACGTCACTGTTTTCATTTCTGTGCTGTCCATGGTGTCTTCTGGACTGCTCTTTGTCTGACTCGTCACCTGAGACCTGTCTGCCATGGGAGGCCCTACCAGGGGCATGAAGCCCCAGACAGCATAGCTCCCAGGATCATCCGAGTACTCAAACTCCCCCACCACGTTAAGGTGGCAGTCCAGGGGGGGAGCAAAAACACATTTGATGGAATCTTTGGAAATAATGGTCGTTATGTGAACAGACTTCTTCATAAATTATGTATCAGCGATCATGACAGACCCCACTGCGTAGATAAACTGACACACACACACACACACACACACACACACACCTTAATAATAATGAACTATGGGTAATAAATCCACAGGGTAAATCCGTGAGAGGCGCAGTAATGAACACAGGATCCAGATGGTGCGGCTGTATTATTAAGAGCTGCTCCTATTTACAACAGCACCAGGAAGTTACTCCGGAGGCCACAGCTGCCCCGAGGCAGAGCAACAGAGGAGAGGCTGCCAATCTGTGTCACTGGATCCTCCAACCATCACCAAGAGAGAGGGAGAGAGAGCATGAGAGAGAGAGAGAGACAGAGAGAGAGAGAGACAGAGAGAGAGAGAGAGACAGAGCAAGAGAGGGACACAGAGAGAGAGAGAGTGAAAGAGAAAAAGACAGAGTGAGAGACACACAGAGGGAGAGACAGTTAGAGACAGAGAGAGACACAGAGGGAGAGACACACAGAGTGAGAGACACACAGAGGGAGAGACAGTTAGAGACAGAGAGAGACACAGAGGGAGAGACACACAGAGGGAGAGACACACAGAGAGAGAGACACACAGAGGGAGAGACACACAGAGGGAGAGACACACAGAGAGAGAGACACACAGAGGGAGAGACACACAGAGGGAGAGACACACAGAGAGAGAGACACACAGAGGGAGAGACACACAGAGGGAGAGACACACAGAGAGAGAGACACACAGAGGGAGAGACACACAGAGGGAGAGACACACAGAGAGAGAGACACACAGAGGGAGAGACACACAGAGGGAGAGACACACAGAGAGAGAGACAGTTAGAGACAGAGAGAGACAAGGCGAGAGAAAGAGAAAATAGATAGTTGTGATTTTTACATAAAAATACTTGGAATTGAAAAGAGCTATTGGTCCATTGGGAGCAGATGACCACTGTCCAGAAATGGTAATACATGTTAATAAATGTTAATAAATGTCAATACATTTTGCCGACTCCATAAACCCTTTTGGCTAAAGTCTCACTAAAATGTGTGAACACTTTGCTGAACAGGCTTCACCACTTAACTCCTGATGTCAGACACAGTACACTGCAAAAAGTGATGAAAAATAAGTCAGAAATGGCTCAAATTTTGAAAAAAGGTTCAATCAATTGCAAAAAGGTTTCTGTTTGGAGAGACTCAAACAGAAAGAACATAATATTAGAATTGAATGTTGATTGACAGTAATCTGACACCACATAAATTACACGTTACATTTGTACAGAATGTGGTTATGATTTGGCCTTAGACCCCGGCAGAGCTCTGCAGAAGGGGACGAGATTATGAGAGGACATCCCCCGGGGCCGAGACCCTGGTGGTGGGAGCGAGGAGAAGGATGAAGGAGCAGGACTAGAACGAGGAGGAGATAGGGAGGAGGTATGGGGAGCTTCTGTGATATGAAGCTGATGCGGGCAGTGCCTGATGCTGCAGCTGAGTGTGATTGACAGATGGCTGTTGCTGTGGGCAACAGCAGGACTTTGGCGCTGTGGGCTTGGTTCTCATGTCTTCCAGGTTGAACTTACTCTTAAGCTTCCTCTTTATTTGAGCACATTCTGACTGAGCCTTAAAACAAGATTTTCCAACGGGACAAAGCAAAATGATCTTGTTTGAAAAATATCCAAGAAATGTCTCCCTTGGAATGAGAAAATACGGCAACAGTTCTTGAATAAGACTAAATGGCTCTGTCCCATTGGAAAATCTTGTTTTAAGGCACTCAGAATGTGTCATGGTGTGGATTTTGTGTTATTTTACTTGATTTTATTTCTACTTATTTTCCCTGTTTCTGTTTGACTTCCTGTGTGTTGATTGTCTAACCTTGCCTGCAAGCTGAATTCTCGCGGTATTTGTGAGTTCAGAAATACTCGAGAATACATCTTGCCCCGCTCCCGCCAACTCTTTTCGAGTAGAACATCTAGGTGTTCAAGCCAATCACGCGCCAGTCTGGGGGTTTAGGGCGGGATATCCGAGTCTGACAAAAGCAAGAAGTGCCGGGCCGAAGCAAAACAAACATGGCTACGCAGGAGGACGGACCGTAGCTGAGGCTATCAAGTCAGTTTTAGCAGAATCTCCAATTTCTTTTTTCAAAGATGAACAGCGAGAGGCGCTTTGTTTATTTCTGGACGGCAACCTTGGTAGGCGGGCACACAGCGTCACTTCGCCCAATCAGCTTGAAGTATTCTGCTACTTATCCCTCCTTTCCCCGAAAGGATTCTCCTGCAGAAGTCCCAGATTGATCTTGTGGAGAACGCATTAGAGTTCTACACAATCATCAATCTGGCTCTTGCCAGGTTAGTGATTGTCTGCCCCGCCCGGATGTGTTTCACCTGTGTCTGCGTCATGTGTACCTGTGCTCCTCTCCCCTCGTTGCTGGTTCATTCTATTGTTTTGTCAAGTTCTGTCCTGGTTACTTTGGATTTCTGGAGTTTGTTTTGTTTTGTTTTATTAAGAGCTTTATTTTGGCATTCTTGCAGTTTGAGTCCTCACTCAGCTCGCCTCGTGACTGAATGTACTCAAACTTAGATAAATAAATAAAAACACTGGATTGAAGCATTACCTTATATTTAATCACAGGGACGACAGGTGGAAATTAACCTCTTTGCTATAACCTAAAACAATACATCTGTTTACCTGTACACTGTCCCTGTTCAAATAAAGTACATACCGTATCATACTTCTTGCAGAGTATGGTCAAAGCGGCCTAAAGCGGCCTCTAACTCCTCAATCCCCACTTCCTCTGCGTCTCAGAGAAGCACATTGCAGCGCTGTAATAGACAGTCATTACACGGAGCCGGTCTAAGCCGGGATCAGGGCCCCTCGGTCTGCCTCAGAGGGCGGACTCTCTGTGGACCGGCCTGGTGGACATGTCTGGCATTCCCCGTCAGAGCGCCGCTGTACATCCCATTAGGAGCCGCCAGTCGCCCAGTGAGGCATCCACATGCTTAATGCACCGCGCTGCTGCAGAGGGTCCACAGGGTCCACCGGGTCCAGAGGGTCCCGAGGGTCCACAGGGTCACCGGTCCAAGTCTAGACTGCGCTAAGACTTCAGAGGGAGCGCGTGATTGGATTTCTTATGTGAAAATGTGACGAGAGGAGACTGCGGGACGTACACAGAACAGTTAAAGGCATGAAGCAGAGACTTATAGGTGGAGCTGCAGAGGAGGACGTAAACAAGGACATTCCAGTGACATATATGGACTTTCATGACTCCTCCCTGACCCCTGACCTTTACTGTCAGCCTGTACTAGAGTCACTTTCACTGCGGTGAAGTGTGTATTGTGCGTTCTTACTGTATAGTTATGCAGCCATTTTGTTTTTCATGTCCTGTGCTGCTCAAATGACTTTCCCCTGAAAAAAAATATCGCAGTTTATTCAAAACTCTGAAGCTTGAGTCCTGACTAGAACCAGGAAGTACCATCACATTAGTCCTGACTTGAACCAGGAAGTACCATCACATTAGTCCTGACTTGAACCAGGAAGTACCATCACATTAGTCCTGACTTGAACCAGGAAGTACCATCACATTAGTCCTGACTTGAACCAGGAAGTACCATCACATTAGTCCTGACTTGAACCAGGAAGTACCATCACATTAGTCCTGACTTGAACCAGGAAGTACCATCACATTAGTCCTGACTTGAACCAGGAAGTACCATCACATTAGTCCTGACTAGAACCAGGAAGTACCATCACATTAGTCCTGACTAGAACCAGGAAGTACCATCACATTAGTCCTGGCCTCAGGTCTCTGCTCCTGTAGTTCAGAGACTAGACTTTAAATCAGCTCTGTTTGTTACAAGTCTCTCTGTGGACTCAAAGTACATCTGTGACATTGGAGCACAGGGACTGGCCTCCTGCTGGGACTCTGAGAAGCACAGGGACTGGCCTCCTGCTGGGACTCTGAGGAGCACAGGGACTGGCCTCCTGCTGGGACTCTGAGGAGCACAGGGACTGGCCTCCTGCTGGTCCCAGAGTCAGGACTAAACATAGGAGCTTTTTAGATGTGTGCTGCTAAAATCTGGAACAGTCTTCCTGAATATGTGAGACAGGCTTCTTCTCTGACAATGTTCAAATCCAGGTTAAAAAATTGAAGGATATTTTTTCATTATTCATGATCTTAATGTCTTTCTATCTGGTTTTGCTCAGCGCCTTTTAGTTGCCTTGTGGTTGAACTGTGCTAAACAAATAAACTTGCCTTGACATTTTCACCAAAGTGGAATCTGAAAACCAGACGACTCGACTTAAACTCCTTTAAACTCCTCCTGCAGCGGAGAAGTGGGACTGGACCCAATGATGATCTCTTCACACAGTCTCAGCAGAAAAAAAACATTATAAAAACTTGGAGGCTCCAGCGGGACCTGCAGCAAGTCAACAACCTCAGGTAGAGAGGAGGGAGAGAGGAGGGAGAGAGGAGGAGAGAGGAGCAGAGGGGGGGAGAGAGGAGGGAGAGAGGAGAGAGAGGAGGAGAGAGGAGCAGAGGGGGGGAGAGAGGAGGGAGAGAGGAGGTGTAGAGGAGGAGAGAGGAGCAGAGGGGGGGAGAGAGGAGGGAGAGAGGAGGTGTAGAGGAGGAGAGAGGAGGTGTAGAGGAGAGAGGAGGGAGAGAGGAGGAAAAGAGGAGGGCGAGAGGAGGCAGAGAGGAGGCAAAGAGGACGGAGAGAGGAGGGAGAGAGGAGGCAAAGAGGAGGGAGAGAGGAGGCAAAGAGGAGGGAGAGAGGAGGGAGAGAGGAGGGAGAGAGGAGACAGAGAGGAGGCAGAGGAGGTGGAGAGGAGGAGGAAGAGAGGAGGCAGAGAGGAGACAGAGAGGAGACGGAGGAGGAGGAGAGGAGGGAGAGAGGAGGCAGAGAGGAGGGAGAGAGGATACAGAGGGGAGGCAGAGGAGGTGGAGAGGAGGAGGAAGAGAGGAGGCAGAGAGGAGACAGAGAGGAGGCAGAAAGGAGGGAGAGAGGAGACATAGAGGAGGGAGAGAGGAGGCAGAGAAGAGGGAGAGAGGAGGAAGAGAGGAGGGAGAGAGGAGACAGAGGAGGTGGAGAGGAGGAGGAAGAGAGGAGGCAGAGAGGAGACAGAGAGGAGGGAGAGAGGAGGCAGAGAGGAGGGAGAGAGGAGGGAGAGAGGAGGAAGAGAGGAGGGAGAGAGAAGACAGAGGAGGTGGAGAGGAGGAGGAAGAGAGGAGGCAGAGAGGAGGCAGAAAGGAGGGAGAGAGGAGACAGAGAGGAGGCAGAGGAGGTGGAGAGGAGGAGGGAGAGAGGAGACAGAGAGGAGGGAGAGAGGAGGCAGAGAGGAGGGAGAGAGGAGGGAGAGAGGAGGCAGAGAGGAGGGAGAGAGGAGGTAGAGAGGAGACAGAGAGGAGGCAGAGAGGAGGCAGAGAGGAGGCAGAGAGGAGGGAGAGGAGGTGGAGAGGAGGAGGAAGAGAGGAGGCAGAGAGGAGACAGAGAGGAGGCAGAAAGGAGGGAGAGAGGAGACATAGAGGAGGGAGAGAGGAGGCAGAGAAGAGGGAGAGAGGAGGAAGAAAGGAGGGAGAGAGGAGACAGAGGAGGTGGAGAGGAGGAGGAAGAGAGGAGGCAGAGAGGAGTCAGAGAGGAGGGAGAGAGGAGGCAGAGAGGAGGGAGAGAGGAGGAAGAGAGGAGGGAGAGAGAAGACAGAGGAGGTGGAGAGGAGGAGGAAGAGAGGAGGCAGAGAGGAGGCAGAAAGGAGGGAGAGAGGAGACAGAGAGGAGGCAGAGGAGGTGGAGAGGAGGAGGGAGAGAGGAGACGGAGAGGAGGGAGAGAGGAGGCAGAGAGGAGGGAGAGAGGAGGGAGAGAGGAGGCAGAGAGGAGGGAGAGAGGAGGTAGAGAGGAGGCAGAGAGGAGACAGAGAGGAGGCAGAGAGGAGGGAGAGAGGAGGCAGAGAGGAGGCAGAGAGGAGGGAGAGAGGAGGCAGAGAGGAGGGAGAGAGGAGGCAGAGAGGAGGGAGAGAGGAGGCAGAGAGGAGGGAGAGAGGAGGCAGAGAGGAGTCAGAGAGGAGGGAGAGAGGAGGCAAAGAGGAGGGAGAGAGGAGGCAGAGAGGGGGGAGAGAGGAGGCAGAGAGGAGGGAGAGAGGAGGCAAAGAGGAGGGAGAGAGGAGGCAGAGAGGAGGGAGAGAGGAGGGGGAGAGAGGAGACAGAGAGGAGGGAGAGAGGAGGCAGAGAGGAGGCAGAGAGGAGGGAGAGAGGAGGCAGAGAGGAGGGAGAGAGGAGACAGAGAGGAGGGAGAGAGGAGGCAGAGAGGAGGGAGAGAGGAGGCAGAGAGGAGGGAGAGAGGAGGCAGAGAGGAGGGAGAGAGGAGACAGAGAGGAGGGAGAGAGGAGGCAAAGAGGAGGGAGAGAGGAGGCAGAGAGGAGGGAGAGAGGAGGGAGAGAGGAGACAGAGAGGAGGGAGAGAGGAGGCAGAGAGGAGGCAGAGAGGAGGCAGAGAGGAGGGAGAGAGGAGACAGAGAGGAGGGAGAGAGGAGGCAGAGAGGAGGGAGAGAGGAGGCAGAGAGGAGGGAGAGAGGAGGCAGAGAGGAGGGAGAGAGGAGGGAGAGAGGAGGCAGGGAGGAGGGAGAGAGGAGGCAGAGAGGAGGGAGAGAGGAGGCAGAGAGGAGGGAGAGAGGAGGCAGAGAGGAGGGAGAGAGGGGGGAGAGAGGAGGGAGAGAGGAGGGAGAGAGGAGACAGAGAGGAGGGATAGAGGAGGGAGAGAGGAGGCAGAGAGGAGGCAGAGAGGAGGGAGAGAGGAGGCAGAGAGGAGGGATAGAGGAGGGAGAGAGGAGGCAGAGAGGAGGCAGAGAGGAGGGAGAGAGGAGGCAGAGAGGAGGCAGAGAGGAGGGAGAGAGGAGGCAGAGAGGAGACAGAGAGGAGGGAGAGAGGAGGCAGAGAGGAGGCAGAGAGGAGGTAGAGAGGAGGGAGAGAGGAGGCAGAGAGGAGGGAGAGAGGAGACATAGAGGAGGAAGAGAGGAGGTGGAGAGGAGGAGGAAGAGAGGAGGCAGAGAGGAGACAGAGAGGAGGCAGAAAGGAGGGAGAGAGGAGACAGAGAAGAGGCATAGGAGGTGGAGAGGAGGAGGAAGAGAGGAGGCAGAGAGGAGGCAGAAAGGAGTGAGAGAGGAGACGGAGGAGGAGGAGAGGAGGGAGAGGAGGAGGAGAGGAGGAGGGAGAGAGGAGGCAGAGAGGAGGGAGAGAGGAGACAGAGGAGAGGCAGAGGAGGTGGAGAGGAGGAGGAAGAGAGGAGGCAGAGAGGAGGCAGAAAGGAGGGAGAGAGGAGACGGAGGAGGAGGAGAGGAGGGAGAGAGAAGGGAGAGGAGGCAGAGGAGGAGGAGAGAGGAGGAGGAGAGGAGGCAGAGAGGAGGCAGAGGAGGTGGAGAGAGGAGGGAGAGAGGAGGTGGAGAGGAGGGAGAGAAGAGACAGAGAGGAGACATAGAGGAGGAAGAGAGGAAGGGAGAGAAGAGGTGGAGAGGAGGAGGGAGAGTGGAGGCAGAGAGGAGGGAGAGGAGGTGGAGAGGAAGAAGAAGAGAGGAGGCAGAGAGGAGGCAGAAGAGGAGGGAGAGAGGAGGCAGAGAGGAGGAGAGAGAGGAGACAGAGAGGAGGGAGAGAGGAGGCAGAGAGGAGGCAGAGAGGAGGCAGAGAGGAGGGAGAGAGGAGGGAGAGAGGAGGGAGAGAGGAGACAGAGAGGAGGCAGAGAGGAGGCAGAGAGGAGGCAGAGAGGAGGGAGAGAGGAGGCAGAGAGGAGGGAGAGAGGAGGGAGAGAGGAGGCAGAGAGGAGGCAGAGAGGAGGCAGAGAGGAGGGAGAGAGGAGGCAGAGAGGAGGGAGAGAGGGGGGAGAGAGGAGGGAGAGAGGAGGGAGAGAGGAGGGAGAGAGGAGACAGAGAGGAGGGAGAGAGGAGGCAGAGAGGGGGGAGAGAGGAGACAGAGGAGAGGCAGAGGAGGAGGAAGAGAGGAGGCAGAGAGGAGGCAGAAAGGAGGGAGAGAGGAGACGGAGGAGGAGGAGACGAGGGAGAGAGAAGGGAGAGGAGGCAGAGGAGGAGGAGAGAGGAGGAGGAGAGGAGGCAGAGAGGAGGGAGAGATGAGACAGAGAGGAGGCAGAGGAGGTGGAGAGAGGAGGGAGAGAGGAGGAGAGGAGGGAGAGAAGAGACAGAGAGGAGACATAGAGGAGGGAGAGAGGAAGGGAGAGAAGAGGTGGAGAGGAGGAGGGAGAGTGGAGGCTGAGAGGAGGGAGAGGAGGTGGAGAGGAGGAGGAAGAGAGGAGGCAGAGAGGAGGCAGAAGAGGAGGGAGAGAGGAGGCAGAGAGGAGGGAGAGAGGAGACAGAGAGGAGGGAAAGAGGAGGCAGAGAGGAGGCAGAGAGGAGGCAGAGAGGAGGGAGAGAGGAGGGAGAGAGGAGGGAGAGAGGAGACAGAGAGGAGGCAGAGAGGAGGCAGAGAGGAGGGAGAGAGGAGGCAGAGAGGAGGGAGAGAGGAGGCAGAGAGGAGGGAGAGAGGAGGGAGAGAGGAGGCAGAGAGGAGGCAGAGAGGAGGCAGAGAGGAGGGAGAGAGGAGGCAGAGAGGAGGGAGAGAGGGGGGAGAGAGGAGGGAGAGAGGAGGGAGAGAGGAGGGAGAGAGGAGACAGAGAGGAGGGAGAGAGGAGGCAGAGAGGAGGCAGAGAGGAGGGAGAGAGGAGGCAGAGAGGAGGGAGAGAGGAGGGAGAGAGGAGGGAGAGAGGAGACAGAGAGGAGGGAGAGAGGAGGCAGAGAGGAGGGAGAGAGGAGGGAGAGATAAGGCAGAGAGGAGGGAGAGAGGAGGGAGAGAGGAGGCAGAGAGGAGGCAGAGAGGAGGCAGAGAGGAGGGAGAGAGGAGGGAGAGAGGAGACATAGAGGAGGAAGAGAGGAGGGAGAGAGGAGGCAAAGAGGAGGGAGAGAGGAGGCAGAGAGGAGGGAGAGAGGAGGCAGAGAGGAGGGAGAGAGGAGGGAGAGAGGAGACAGAGAGGAGGCAGAGGAGGTGGAGAGGAGGGAGAGAGGAGGCAGAGGAGGTGGAGAGGAGGAGGAAGAGGAGGCAGAGAGGAGACAGAGAGGAGACGGAGGAGGAGGAGAGGAGGGAGAGAGGAGGGGGAGGAGGAGGGAGAGAGGAGGCAGAGAGGAGGGAGAGAGGATACAGAGGGGAGGCAGAGGAGGTGGAGAGGAGGAGGAAGAGAGGAGGGAGAGAGGAGGAAGAGAGGAGGCAGAGAGGAGGCAGAGAGGAGGCAGAGAGGAGGGAGAGAGGAGGCAGAGAGGAGGGAGAGAGGGGGGAGAGAGGAGGGAGAGAGGAGGGAGAGAGGAGACAGAGAGGAGGGAGAGAGGAGGGAGAGAGGAGGCAGAGAGGAGGGAGAGAGGAGGGAGAGAGGAGGGAGAGAGGAGGCAGAGAGGAGCCAGAGAGGAGGCAGAGAGGAGGGAGAGAGGAGGCAGAGAGGAGGGAGAGAGGAGGGAGAGAGGAGACATAGAGGAGGAAGAGAGGAGGCAGAGAGGAGGGAGAGAGGAGGCAAAGAGGAGGGAGAGAGGAGGCAGAGAGGAGGGAGAGAGGAGGCAGAGAGGAGGGAGAGAGGAGGGAGAGAGGAGACAGAGAGGAGGCAGAGGAGGTGGAGAGGAGGGAGAGAGGAGGCAGAGGAGGTGGAGAGGAGGAGGAAGAGGAGGCAGAGAGGAGACAGAGAGGAGACGGAGGAGGAGGAGAGGAGGGAGAGAGGAGGGAGAGGAGGAGGGAGAGAGGAGGCAGAGAGGAGGGAGAGAGGATACAGAGGGGAGGCAGAGGAGGTGGAGAGGAGGAGGAAGAGAGGAGGCAGAGAGGATACAGAGGGGAGGCAGAGGAGGTGGAGAGGAGGAGGAAGAGAGGAGGCAGAGAGGAGACAGAGAGGAGGCAGAAAGGAGGGAGAGAGGAGACAGAGAGGAGGCAGAGAGGAGGCAGAGAGGAGGCAGAGAGGAGGAAGAGAGGAGGGAGAGAGGAGACAGAGAGGAGACAGAGGAGGTGGAGAGGAGGAGGAAGAGAGGAGGCAGAGAGGAGACAGAGAGGAGGCAGAAAGGAGGGAGAGAGGAGACAGAGAGGAGGCAGAGGAGGTGGAGAGGAGGAGGAAGAGAGGAGGCAGAGAGGAGACAGAGAGGAGGCAGAGGAGGTGGAGAGGAGGAGGAAGAGAGGAGGCAGAGAGGAGACAGAGAGAAGGCAGAAAGGAGGGAGAGAGGAGACGGAGGAGGAGGAGAGGAGGGAGAGAGGAGGGAGAGGAGGAGGAGAGGAGGAGGTAGAGAGGAGGCAGAGAGGAGGGAGAGAGGAGACAGAGGGGAGGCAGAGGAGGTGGAGAGGAGGAGGAAGAGAGGAGGCAGAGAGGAGGCAGAAAGGAGGGAGAGAGGAGACGGAGGAGGAGGAGAGGAGGGAGAGAGGAGGCAGAGGAGGAGGAGAGAGGAGGAGGAGAGGAGGCAGAGAGGAAGGAGAGATGAGACAGAGAGGAGGCAGAGGAGGTGGAGAGAGGAGTGAGAGAGGAGGTGGAGAGGAGGGAGAGAAGAGACAGAGAGGAGACATAGAGGAGGGAGAGAGGAAGGGAGAGAAGAGGTGGAGAGGAGGAGGGAGAGTGGAGGCAGAGAGGAGGGAGAGGAGGTGGAGAGGAGGAGGAAGAGAGGAGGCAGAGAGGAGGCAGAGAGGAGGGAGAGAGGAGGGAGAGAGGAGGGAGAGAGGAGGCAGAGAGGAGGCAGAGAGGAGGGAGAGAGGAGGGAGAGAGGAGGGAGAGAGGACGGATTGCCGCCGAGATTATCTCAGATCCCCCGGAGCCAAGCCCCGGCAGTGGCCAGAGCATGGTGCGAATGGGCCGTGGGCAGAGAAGGAGCCAGAGCAGGAGCTGAGGAGGCGGTGGTTGTCAAGAGCCTCAAGAAGCGCTGGTTAGGAGGAAGTCTCTGATTTTAAACTGCCCACTTTGCTGACAGAGGGTTGACAGGCAGGCTGGCCGAGCTGTGTGATTGGCTGAGGCTCGAGAGGTGCCGGCTGGATTCCTCTGCATATCTGGCAGGAGGGAGGTTGTGATACTCCTTTTGGTCAGATTTTCACACACTGCTCCTTTAAACACATTTTTATTTATTTTCCATCACTTTTTCTAGTGTGATTTTTGTCATTAGATTAATCTGGAAAATATTTAAATTCAATAACAAACAAAAGGTTTAAAATGTTCTTGTTCTTTAGAAACTGAATCTTTCCCATGTTTCCTGAGCTCTTTACGGTATCGGCAAACGTCCGGGGAGCAGAGGACTAACAGCGTAGATCCTGAATGATTAGTTTGTGTGTTTGGAAATGGATTAATGCTTTAAACATTCTCTTTGATAATGTTTACGTTCTCAGCGGTGAGGATCAGAGAAGCTCAGAAAACTCCTAAGGACACAACAGCAGTTTGGCACTTTACAGCCGCAGCCGCCCCACTGTGGCTACTGTTCCCAGAGGTTAAGTGTCTTGCCAAGGACACAACAACAGCAGACAGTGGGAGTCGATGGAGAAGGCCGGGTTCGAACCCAGGACCTTCAAAGCTCAATGTTCTACAACTGAGCCACTGTTGCCCCGACAAATCTCTCTCTGGTCTCTCTTTCTCTGCTCTCTTTCTGGTCTCGCTCTCTGTGGTCTCTTTCTCTGGTCTCTCTTTCTGGTCTCTCTCTCTGTGGTCTCTTTCTCTGGTCTCTCTCTGCTCTCTCTATGGTCTCTCTCTCGGGTCTTTCTATGGTTTCTTTCTCTGGTTCTCTCTCTTGGTCTCTCTCTGGTCTCTCACTCTGGGTGTCCCTGGTAGGGCTGGGCGATAAAACGATAACGATATATATCGCAATAGACATGTGTTCGATATCAATAGAGAATGAGGTCGATAGAATGTTCGATAGTTTAACTTAACTCCGTCAGGAAAAACAGGAAGAAAACACCGGAAGTAAAGCCGACTCATAAGCGCATGGCATTGTGGGGGATGTAGGCAGAGGCTTCTCGACCAATAACAGCCGAGCAGGAACCGCAAAACTTTCTGGGAAATGCTAAAACACCAACAACCGCAGCATGCGTAGCGTCCATGGATCTATAGCTCGTGTTTCAATGCCGTGTCAATGGTTATGCACGTACGTGCGCGGAATAACATGTGCGGCGGCAGAGGCAGTGGACAGACACGATGTATTCGGCGAAAGCAAGAGATTAACTTTTTCCTTGGGAAGCATGTGCGGCACAGAGAGCCACACGGAGCGGTCACGGGGACACAAGACCCTCAAACAGCTAAACCAGGAGCTAAACCAGGAATAAAAAACCAGGATTAAACCAGGACTAACAACGAGGGACACAGTGTGAACATATTTCTCCAGCCTCATTGCCCCGTGACTGTAAACAAGGCTGCTAAGGTTGGTTAGCCCACACCACAAATATATTTATTTAGGTAAAAAAAAAACTCAATATATATCGTTATCGACCGATATGAATGACTTATATGGTGATATAGTTTTCAGCCATATCGCCAGCCCTAGTCTCTGGTCTACTGTATCTCTGTTCTCTCTCTGCTCTCTTTCTGGTCTCTCTCTCTCTCTCTGGTCTGTCTCTTGGTCTCTCTCTTATTTCTCCCTCTGGTCTCTCACTCTAGGTTTCTCTCTGCTCTTTTCCCGGCCTCTCTCTCTCTCTCTCTCTCTGTTTCTCTCGCTCACCAAAAGCATCTCAGTACTACAGAGTCAAGACACAAAAAGAAAACATTTGGCCCCCCATCCAGAACCATTCTCCTGATCTGAGAGAAGACCGTCTGAGAATTATCCTTTAAAGCTTCTGTCTAAATCCCTCAGACCTCTGGGACCAGCAGGAGACCGACAGTGAGAGGAGTTCTTCTGGAGTGGCTTCTGGATGCGGAGAGAGAAAAGCTTGGACCAGATCTCCATTAAAGTCTCTTCCTTTTCCTGTCTATTGTTTGTTCATATCAACTTAGCACATTGTCCTATTTACTGTGGCCTGGAAAAGTCCCCAGAGGACAATCACTTTCTGCAAATAAGTGGACGATAGAGACCTGGAAGTGGCTCACGCTGTCGTTTCCTGCTTTTCAGAGACACAACAAGGAAAACAGGGAAAGAAAAACATTTGAGATTCACTTTTGTCATGATTTTAGTCAATCTTTGACGACGTGGTTTAGTAATGATAGTTATTAAGAGCACCAGCATCAAGCCTGGTCTCTGGGCTCTCTCTGGTCTCTCTCTGGTCTCTCTCTGGTCTCTCTCTGGGCTCTCTCTGGTCTCTCTCTGGGCTCTCTCTGGTCTCTCTCTGTGCTCTCTCTGGTCTCTCTCTGGTCTCTCTCTGGGCTCTCTCTGGTCTCTCTCTGGGCTCTCTCTGGTCTCTCTCTGGTCTCTCTCTGGTCTCTCTCTGGTCTCTCTCTGGTCTCTCTCTGGTCTTTCTCTCTGGTCTTTCTCTCTGGTCTCTCTAGTCACTCTCTGGTCTCTCTCTCTGGTCTCTCTCTGGGCTCTCTATGGTCTCTCTCTGGTCTCTCTCTGGTCTTTCTCTCTGGTCTTTCTCTCTGGTCTCTCTCTAGTCACTCTCTGGTCTCTCTCTCTGGTCTCTCTCTGGTCTCTCTCTGGTCTCGCTCTGGGCTCTCTCTGGTCTCTCTCTGGTCTCTCTCTGGTCTCACTCTGGTCTCTCTCTGGTCTCACTCTGGTCTCTCTCTCTGGTCTCTCTCTGGTCTCTCTCTGGGCTCTCTCTGGTCTCTCTCTGGTCTCGCTCTGGTCTCTCTTTCTGGTCTCTCTCTCTGGTCTCTCTCTCTGGCCTCTCTCTGGTCTCTCTCTCTGGTCTCTCTCTCTGGTCTCTCTCTCTGGCCTGTCTCTGGTCTCTCTCTCTGGTCTCTCTCTCTGGCCTGTCTCTGGTCTCTCTCTGGTCTCTCTCTCTGGTCTCTCTCTCTGGTCTCTCTCTCTGGTCTCTCTCTGGTCTCTCTCTCTGGTCTCTCTCTCTGGTCTCTCTCTCTGGCCTCTCTCTGGTCTCTCTCTGCACTCTCTGGGCTCTCTCTAGTTTCTCTCTGCTCTCTTTCTCTGGTCTCTCTTTTGGTGTCTCTCTTTTCTCCCTCTGGTCTTTCAGAGTGGTTCTTTCCCGCAGCAGGAGTCTCTAAGGACAGAGATGATCCAGGACTCTCCACATTTATCAACATTTGTCTCTGCTCCTTATGAACCAATGGCTTTTTGATTCTCTGATCTGTGCTGGCAAATCGACAGTTTTTCAAAAATCCTCAGAGAAAACTACTGTTGTGATTTAGGACTTTACAAAATTGAATTAACTTGACATTCACTGATGGCTCGATAAACCCGACACAGAAGAAGGAACAATTCCGCAAAATATATTTCTTTTTCTCTGATTTGTTGGATTCGAGGCCGCTAAAAAAAAAGAAGAGGGTATAATCTTCTGGAGGGAAGAGCCTCGTGTGTCAGACGCTGCTCCACAATCAGCTGAAGTGATGGGTCCAACTTCTATTGTATTCTGAGGTCACAACGAAACACTGAACTGCACTGGACTTATGCTTCTGCTCCAATTATACTAAAACATGACAGACTCAGTCCTGGGTCTACAGCCTCAGTCCTGGGTCTACAGTCTCAGTCCTGGGTCTACAGCCTCAGTCCTGGGTCTACAGCCTCAGTCCTGGGTCTACAGTCTCAGTCCTGGGTCTACAGTCTCAGTCCTGGATCTACAGTCTCAGTCCTGGATCTACAGCCTCAGTCCTGGGTCTACAGCCTCAGTCCTGGGTCTACAGTCTCAGTCCTGGGTCTACAGCCTCAGTCCTGGATCTACAGCCTCAGTCCTGGATCTACAGCCTCAGTCCTGGATCTACAGCCTCAGTCCTGGATCTACAGCCTCAGTCCTGGGTCTACAGCCTCAGTCCTGGGTCTACAGCCTCAGTCCTGGGTCTACAGCCTCAGTCCTGGATCTACAGCCTCAGTCCTGGATCTACAGCCTCAGTCCTGGGTCTACAGCCTCAGTCCTGGGTCTACAGCCTCAGTCCTGGATCTACAGCCTCAGTCCTGGGTCTACAGCCTCAGTCCTGGATCTACAGCCTCAGTCCTGGATCTAAAGTCTCAGTCCTGGTTCTGGACAGTGGTCCTCCCTCTCCCCATGGACCAATCTCTGATCTGTTGTCGGTAAAAATACAACTTTGTAAAACCCTCTGAGACGACGGCTTCAAACACGATTAATTAAATCTTTGGAGAATCTTGTTTTAACACAGTCTGAATGTGCTCAAAGAAAGATAAAAAACCACTCGTTTCAAGCTTTCATGACCTCATATTTGATCATTTTTTGCAGCTTACACTAAAAAAGTAAAATCTTGGTGAGATTTATTTACCAAAAATAATTGTCTTTATTTTCCAATAAAGAATTCAGAAATCCGTAAATCAGTAAATAATACTTGAGATGTATGTTTTTAAACTAGAATCAAGTCATTTGGGGCAAGAGTTAAAGTAGCAATATGTAAAATCTTCATGTAATTTATTATTAAAGGGCCCTAATCTGTCATCATTAAAGGGCCTCAATCTGTCATCATTAAAGGGCCCTAAGGGCCT